TATTAAAGTTTACTAGTCTATTGCTGTAGTTAATTATAACAGTGTATTAAACAGTTTACTATTCTGTTGCTGTAGTTAATTATAACAGTGTATTAAACAGTTTACTACACTGTTGTTGTAGTTGGTTATAATGGTGTATTAAACAGTTAACTAGTCTGTTGTTGTAATTGGTTATAATGGTGTATTAAACAGTTTACTATTCTGTTGCTGTAGTTAATTATAACGGTGTATTAAACAGTTTACTAGTCTGTTGCTGTAGTTGATTGTAATGGAGTGAGCTCCGAAGAATGTAATGGATGAAATAGATTGTGATTTATTTGAAATAAATGTTGTTGTTTTTTATGTTAGTTTATTTCTCTGTTAGCATTGTGTAAACCTATTATAAAAAGTTCGTCTTCAACGTATTCTTAGACCAGATACAAGACAATTTTGGAATCATAGACGAGTTAGTACGCATGCGCAGATGTTTGCTAGTTTGAGTAGGGATAAGGTAGATGGGCTCGCTCAGGTCGGTATAGCGATAATACCATGAAGAAGTCAGGTGCGTTACATTTTTGTGTTAGTTCAGGTTCTTTCTGTTCTATTTTTGATGAATGTAGGCGTATAGCTGATAGTTTAGAGAAAGATCGTAATTACCATTTACTTACAACGCACAAACTTTCTCGTATTGTATATGTTGTGTTAGTAAACTTAGTGAAAAAAACAAACAAGCCATTATTAGAAATAAACAACATAAGAAAATATATTTATAATGACTATCTTTAGATTTTTTCGGCTGAGTTTTGCATGAATAAAAATTCATGCAAGTGAAAGTTTCGTCGTAAAAGGCGGAGTCAACAGTTATTCGCTGAACACATATATTATAATTCTAGCGCCATAATTTGTTTGTTTGAAGTTAAGCACAAAGCTACACAATGGGCTATCTGTGCTCTGCCCACCACGGTATCGAAACCCGATTTTTATGACTAGTACCATAAGCTATTAACTTAGAAAATTAAAGAAAGTATTGTTATTCCATAGATGAAATGTTACAGAAACACATTTATACTTGGATACTAAAGCCAATCTTCTTGGTGTTTGGCCATTTGCAGCTGGGCGTGGCCTAGTTGTTAGCGCTGTGAGACTGTGAATCTAACAATTCATGATCGCGGCACGCATTTTGAGCCTATGGGTGTGCTATAAGAGTGAGGGCCAAATCGCACTATTCGGTCAGGTAAGACTAACCCAAGAGTTAGTGGTAGGCGCTATTGACTAAGAGTGACTTCCCTCATTTCTATCAGTTGAAAATTAGGAACGGTTATGGGCAGACAACCCTTGTGTAACTTTGCGCGAAAATTCTGAAACAAACAAACAAACATACACATAAAAATTCCATTTAAAACTTTTGAAAACTCTGTGAGTGTTTGAGGTCACAGCCATACTTAGCTTTTAAAAAATTCAAGTCATATTTGTTACGAAACAACACTGCTACGGGTTATGGTTAATTACGCCTTATGCAGGCAAAGCGTTGTCTATACATCGACATTTGGTGTGGCATTACATCACGGTAATTTTTTTTTTTCTTTGCAATTAAGCACAAAGCTACACAATGGGATATCTGTGCTCTGCACACCACGGGTATCGAAACTCTGTTTCTAGAGTTGTAAGGCCGAAGACATACCATTGGGTGGGGGGGGGGGGGGCACGGAGTAAGACCGATTATAATTTTTCACTAATTTTGCTTTATTGCTTTATTAACCCTGTACGGGGTTTCCAGTACGAACATAACAGCATCTCAACAGCACAAGTATGCTATTATGTTTTTACTGGAAACCCGTAAAAACCAGTAAAGGAAAATTTGTTTAAAAATATTGTGTGCCTTATTGTGATATAATGTTATACAAACTACCGATATACAGAGCCGGTTACTTCTTTATCTCAATCTTAAAAACACACTTGATATTTATTGTCATAACATTGTCTTTGTCCCAAGTAGTACAATGGTATGCTTGGGGCTTATAACGTCAAAATTCATGGTTCAATTTTTGCAGTGGTCACAGTGCAGATTGGCGCTGAAACAAACGTTGTCTTGATGAAAGTCAAAGGGTAACTCTTTGGAGCCCCCCTCTCCCCTAGTGACTCAGCGGAAAATCTCTCCGCTTACAACGGTAAAATTCGGATTTAGATACCCGCGGTGGGCAGAGCACAGATAGCTCATTGTGCAGTTTTGTGCTTAATAACAAACAAAGTTAGAGGGACATCTATTAGGCTAAACATTAGAAATAAGATGTTTTTGGAACAACCTCGGCACAGTCTTTTGAAATATGGAATCGAAGATGTGTGTGTGTGTGTTAGGTGTGTTGTATTAACTCCAGAAGTTCGAATGGAATCCTCTTGGGATTCCTAAACACGTTTTTTTTTTCTAAACGAATTACGCACTAAATTGGTTATTGGTCCACGACTTTGTTGGTTATGTGGTTTCTAATAATGTATGATTAACATAAAAAATGTAAACAAAAAATACTCTCAAAATTGCAATTGAATAGCCGTGCCAAGTTTTTTATTTGGTCATTTCTTTAGACCAAGTTTTGTAAGAGGCGAAAAAATAAATTTACTCAAAATGATGCAGTATGTGGACCCCATCGATAGTGATCAGTGTGAAAACAAGTCTGTAATTTGTAGGTTAATGAAAAAATATTGAAGGTTTTGCACGTGCTGTTGTTGTTTAAGTTACTTAACAATCTTTTTGATGAGAAGCCCAGTGGGCGTTTGGGAGAAACCGTGGATAGAATTTGAAATTAATTTTTGTCCCCCCAGTGGCACAGCGGTCTGTCTGCGTACTTACAACGCTAGAAACCGGGTTTCGATACCCGTGGCGGGCAGAGCACAGATAGCCTATTATGAAGCTTTGTGCTTAATTACAAACAAACAAATTAATTAACTTTTTTTCTTTTTTACCAGGTTTCAACAAATTGTGCTTTCAGTTTAACGTTTTTGTTCAGACATAGCTTACATCCTCGTCGTCTTTCTCGACATCTCTACTTATTCAAATTAACTTGATAATTTTTATTCGAGTATCATCATTATTAATCGTTTGTTTCTGTTTTACCACAAACCTACAAAATAGAGCATCTGCGCTCTGTCCACCAAGGGGACTCGAACCTCGTATTCTTTGAGCTTTCCGTTGAACCGTTAGAGAGGGGGAGCATTATTACTCGATTGATGGGTGATTTTACCAGTCGTATATACGGAAAGACCAACCATGAGCGGTGTTAATACAGCTTTTCATTGGTGATAAGAGTATCATGTTTGATATTTGTTTCATAGCTCTATAAGCATACGTCTTCGAAAGTAAAACAAATCGTAAATAATAAAATACTTAAGAAGGCCATAAGGTTGCTTTTTTTTTCCTGTTAAAGCGATCAGAATGAAGTTTGTTTTCAATCATTCCGTAAACGTAGTCGAAAGTTGTTGGTAATTTACTCAAAATCTCACCTGTTATATAACTTGTGGAAGGAAACTATAAAACGCTATAAAGTATGGAAAGGTCCTTATGACGAGAGTAAGTTTTGCAAGGGTTGGGCTCAACGTCCTAGGCTAGTTAATTACACTGTTGTTCCTACGGCAACGTCTACCTGGCCGTCCGATTATATCTCAAGCTTGGCTGGGCAAGGACGTCGCCTCGAGGTACGTGAATGTGCTTGGTCCCACGAGCGCCAGTCAAAAGGATTCTACGGCAGGATAGAAAAGACCCTCAAGGATTTTACACTATGTAAACTATTACAGTTTGTGTTGTATTTAAGTGTCCTAAACGAAGTTTTGAAGAGACAAACAAAGATGTTTTTTCATGTAAAACTATAGAAACTACCACCATCAACATTAAAGGATCTTTTTGTTTCATAGTAAAACCGGTTTTTACTGGACATTCCAGGCAATGTTATTCACTTATACCAGATTTTTAAGTTTTTTTTTATTTTTGTGAAAGTACGTTTTTTTTTTTATTCACACTTATATCTTACCAAAAATTTATTTTTGGGCTTGGGTTGGGAATAATTTAGGTG